TGATTTCCCTCCACTTGACAGCAGAGGAGGCAACAGCAGGATCTAGTATGCAGATATGTCAAACTAGAGTATTCTGACTCTCTTTTATTGTGCAAGACACATAATCGGCCTCGCAGGAAAATGCAGAATGTAAGAACGGCAAGATAGAAAAATACAGCAAAGATGAATTGAACTGCGATGTACAAATTAGCGGGAATTATAAACAAGGGCAATAATAATGTACAGGAAAAAAATCATGTGCTTCAGATTGGCTGAAAACAAGTGCATTCTTGAGTAACATGAGAGCAAAGTTGTAACACGAGTGCAAATTACAAATAGCCTGCATATGCTTTCAAAATTTTCACTGTCTGGACTCTCAGTAATGTTTTTTCATGAATATGATTAACAAGTAATAACATGATTTCTCTTGCAATTTTGTGTAATAAGCACTAGTAAATTTTTCAAAGACTGCAAATTCCACTTACCCTACAGGCTCATGCAATTTTGCTGTCTTTGAAAAAATTTATTCCTGCTCATTAACACCAAATTGCACTTAAGATCTTATTACCTTTACTAATTGACAATTATTCACCAAAGTGGAGGTGAATGGTGGTGGACATTTACTGAGCTGCAAGGTCAATATTCACCACTTTTAATGACACAGATTGTGAGGTGAATAACTGTTGTAGTCTATACCACACAGATACAAAAAAATTAGTTATTTCTTTCGATATACCAAAACATGGTCTGAAATGAAACTGTTGACGCATGATTTTGTTTAAGTCGCTTCTCAGAGGTGAATAGTACTCTTCTATTCACTTCCAAACTAGCCAATCAGTGTGTGCAAAAAGCACTATTAACCTGTGTGGTATATATGAACACTGATTAACCCTTTGAATGCCAAAAGTGATCATCATATAATTTCCTATAAAGTCACAGTGTTTTCCAAAAGCACTAATGGGTTGTGTTTTCCTGGACTATTTATTTCTTAAGTGCCAGCAAGAGGGTATCTTAAAAGACAAAGAAGTAAAACACCTGTCTCAATCTGAAATAAATTTAAACCTTTGCTGTTGACCATGTTTTTTTAAGGTTGGCTACAACAGGATGGACATTTAAGTCCATCTCAGGGTTGTTATGTTTCATTCACACTTTGCATTCAAACATTGACCTTTTCACTCTGAAGATCTCATTAGTAACTCTCCTTACTTTCAGCCATACAATTTGCATGAAGTTAACCCTTTTCACTCCCAAGATCTTATTAGCAATTCCCCTTACTGTCTACCATACAATTCGTATGATGTTAGTTCTAAGAATTTTGTGTTAGATCAACCAATACAGTGTTCTTAAGCATGACAGGTAAAATAAATTTTCAAAGCGATAAAGCAATACCTGTTGAGTTTTCAAGAATTCCAAGCAATTTAAAGTGGTAATAAGAGGTACTACTGGCAGTAAATGTTACCGGTTACTGCCTGAAAAGGAGAACACTGCCAATAGTCCCCTAATTTATATTCTTCTTTATTCTCACTAACTGCTTGCTTGATAATGTATTGATACTCTAAGGAGAAATTCTGTCTTGGTCACTAATGTGGGATTTAAAGGGTTAATCCTGGGAATTTGGTATTGGATTAACTAATAATCCCCTGGTTGATATTCTTCTTTATTCCCATCACATGTCTGCTTGATAGTGTAGGGAGAAATTCTGTCTTGGTCACTTATAGTTTATCATGCTCCTTGGAGAGGTATTATGAGGGTAGATCTAGATTGCTTCACAAAAACACATTACAATGGCCTTTCCACAGCGGCATGAATTCTACTATATTTCCTAGAATGTTAATTCTGAGAATTTGATATTGGATCAAATGATCATCCTGTTGGTGATATCTTTCCTGAATTCTCATCACTAAGTTTGCTTGATACTGTATTGATTTTGGAAGGAGAAATTACATTTTGGTCATTCCTGACTACAACACTTCTTGGTCTCCTTGCATTTTTTACTGACAGGCTAAATATTCTCTTAAATCCTGCTCCATGTATTTAAAGATTAGCAGAAAAAAAGCCTACTCAATGGCAAATTAACATATTTTTTTGACAGCAAATTCAACTGAATTGTGTTCAAGAAAAAGATATGTTTTGATTACTGGTAACAATTCACCTTCGAACACCATAGCAAGCAAAATGCAGTGGCACAAAATTGTAGAGGCAGTATGTAATTATTACAGTATAATGCTCACTCGGGATTGCCTGCTTTGATCCCGTGAAAGAAAAACATTGCCTGAAGCGAACTAACATAGTTCATAATTTTTGGAAAAAGTCAGTGACTGCGACACAAAAAGCAGCAGAAGACAGTCAAAACAAAAGAAAGTATAAACAAGTCTTGCGGTTTTATTGTGCTGCAAACAAAGAAATATGGCTTTCTTTCTCATCTCTCAAAATACAAAAATCATTCTTGCTTTATAATAAAGCAAAATATTTTTGCAACATAATAAATCCTTTCTTGAACAAGCTTGTTTGGTAGACATGGCTGGATATTAGCCTCATTTTATATTTTTATTATTATAGAACTCAGCTTCATCTCAGTCCAGAAAAATGCAAACAAGGAACTCTGCCAACATCCAGCCATCTTGATCTCAAACTTGGTCATTATAATGCATACATATAATCATACAATCACATACTTATTTTATAATATGCAGATCTCTTGCGAATAAATTTAAAATTCTAAGCTAAGGAATAAGTCATGAAAAAAGGATGCAACACCACCCATCTAGATTCCACAAACAATACTCCACAAGTATGGGAAAAAAGAAAAATTAAGAATTCTGAACAAGATTTGAACCAGTGCTGTCTTGATCACTATCCAATGCTGAACTTTTAGAAAGCATTAGGCAGCTGCCTCATTTTCAAAGCAAACTGACGAACAAGTAAACAACACCTGGAGATTTTTCACAGAAAGCTAGCAACAGCTAGTGCTGTCAAAGCTAGTGCAAGCTCTTTTACTCATTAAATTAACACAGTTCTTTCTTCACCTGTCTTTTCGTTCAAGACTTATTACATAGCCAGTAAACACAGATACTGAAAAGGTTGCATGTACATATGTCACTGTAATAGCACCCACACTGCATTGCAGGGACATTAAAACAAAATACTGCCTTTATTCTTTCTTAAAGAGTTCATCTTAGATCTCAAAAAAAAATTAACAGTTAAAAACCATTAGCTGTGCTCTAAGTTTAAGATTTCAGAATCAAAACTGATAGTTTTGACACACTGGGATGAGGAAAGTATCCGAAAAAACATATTTACAATCAAAATCTACTTCAGCTTATTAATATTTCACTAGCTAACACAGAGACCTTTTCATGTGCAAAAAGATAAAAAATCCTGTAAGCTTTTTTTTTGTGTTATTCATGAAAAGTTTTAAATGCAGAGCACAATGACTAGTTACAAGGCAATGAATCTCATATTTTCCAAATACAATATTTTAAATAATTTACAACAACTCAGAATAAATTTGCACATTTTTGTCACTTTATTCAACTAAATATACTGATCACCTGGCAAACCACAATAACAAAAGTCTTGAAAATTTTTAAAATAAATAACAGAAAAAGATAACCCATTTCCTTTTTTTTCTGATATTAGACCTAATTATGATAACCAGACAGGATAAAATCATCTTGGAACATATATCAGGTGTAAAATTAATTACAACAGGGTAATGACACTGGCAACTCGAACTAAAAGACTTAAGTTGTGTTTTGAACATTATCATATGAATATATCTTTTTTCACAAACTTACTCCTAAATTTTACTAAGAAAATTAAGTCATACATTTGTAAGCTGTTCGTTCGTTAGAATTTTTCACTAAATTTTGATCGGCTATTAATTTTCACCGGACATTATCCGGTTTAAAACGTTTACAATTTCTATACGCATGTATGCTTTAATGTTGCCCAAATTTAAAGCTCAGCCACTGTATTACCCAAGAACTCGAAATAGCCATTTTTAGATTAATTATAAGAACACTGGGCTCGCGTAAAGCAAGATGGGAAGAAAATGAAGCCATTTGCACGGTTCACATTATCAAAATTACTTCAAACAACAACCGGCATTGGTACTCGTCCTGAAGCGAAATCACTATGTTTTGACTACAGAGGTCACAAGAATTGTTTTTATAATTTTAGCACACATCAACAAAGACATCGAACAGTCCTTCCCAAAAATCGTTCATCGAGCGATAACGGAAGAACACGAAACAAGATGTCGAGGAACCCTTTACAGCCGAAACAGCTGTTCATTGGGAAACCAAGTTCTGTCAAACGTGTAAGGACGGCAAATGAGTCAATTTCCCGTTCAAAAATACACAATAACAGAGAAAAAAACCGCAAAATATTAAAATTTTCCTCAGAAAACTTGCAAGTTATACCCGATCGGTGTCTCAATCTCTTTCAATTGAAAATAAATCGGCCGTAAAATGCGTTTGAATTAAACACTCGCACGATCAATCGTCTATAACATAGCTTGCAGACAATAAACGGACTGTATTCGTAGCTTCATTTAATTCTTGACATGTCCTTTGTTCACAAAATACACGAACGCCCAACGCGAGCGAGGAATTTAATTTTATCAATGAAAGAAACCGGCCTCCCGAAAAAATTCCCGCTTTGCCAAAGGTACTACTTGGAAATGATAAACTAGTAAAACATATGCAAAAAAATATCAGAACTATCTTTGACAGTATGTAAATAAACCCACAGTCTGCTCATAAGCTTGGGGCAATTATCCGTGCAGCTTTATCCAAAAGAAAATTAATGTAAAAAAAAAAGAAGAAAAATACAGCTGGATTCGAATCAACAGCAACTTCGAACATTCGAAAAATTGCTCGTTTTAAAACTGCAGGGGATTAATTCACGTTACAACTACAAAGCTGAAATCATCAGTTTCACAGGTATAGAAGCCTCATTATAAAAACCAAGGGCTGGGTAAGATTAACACGAAAAAATAATAACAAAACATAACGTACCTGTCTCCCTCCGTCACTTCTTCTCCATCATCTGTGGTCAGAGAGATTTTCAAGGAAGATCGCTGAGCTTTCCAAGTTTCTGACATGGTTGACAAGGGGCCCACGTTCCGTAATATCGTCCAGTTTAGCTGCAAAACAGAAAAGAGGAAAACTGTTTACAAAGCCTTACCACAGAGCCTCGGGTTATATTGAGTATATTCAATATCAGTCCAGCTGCGTTGTGTACAAATTGTCCGCAGAGCAATACTTTGAAGGCTATCGATGAAAGTTGATGCCTCGAGGTCATAAAGATGTCTCCTACAGTAAACAGTTTTCCCGCTAGCATACAATTATAAGAAAAAAACCTTTCACCTACCGGAGTAGAATGGCTTTGAATGGGATAAAATTTAGTTCCGGCAGCAAAAGAGACGGAACCACGTTTTTTTCCAGAAGTAGTGGGCGATCGAAGACTTGATCGGACCTTTCTGTTAACGCTCCATGACCCGCGCTGAACGATTCTCAAGCAAATGCCGATGACTCCTAAAAACAGAAGATGTACCGCGTCGTATAAATCAAAATATGTACAGAGCTGCTCGAATGACAGTCTTGTCAGGGATATCCAGAAGAGGAAAAGTTTAGCTATCATTATCGCTGAATTTCCGGATCACTCTTACAAAGTCCGCGCTTGTCCGTGTGTTCTCTCTTTAGAGCTTTCGACTAATTTGAAAGTTGAATGACATCACAAGGGCAAGAGGTGAAGATTGGGAATTAACATATGAATGGAGAGTTGGTGAGCGGCTAAAAATACGACCGCGGTATGTTTGGTGATGTCATTTTCTATACCAAAGCAAAGCAAAGAACTACATTGAAAAGGCTAAAATTTTGTCACCTTGTAGCGGAAATCGTTTCAGCTTTGATCACCGAAGAGGAGAGAGAAAGGTCAAGAAGGCATTATTCTAATTTTCGTCCACTTCTCAAATTTCAGTAATCTACAGAGCAATTATGTAAATTTCACATAAAAAAGAGTTTTAGCGTTTGTGATCATCTTTGCACTGTAACCAGCCTACTTTACAGAGGTAAACGAACGAAATATTTATCCGGCTTGTACAAGAAACCAATTTAAAGTGATCTCTGGTAAACGAAATTTTATACCCGACGAGAGCCGATCGATTCTGCGAGAGACTCACTTAAGGCGTCAGTTTATTACGATAAACAAAGCGCTTAGCTCTAATAATTTCCGTCATTCAACAAGGATCACTACATTAATTCTATTGTAATGAAAACACAGAAAGAGCAATTATGCAAATAGAGCTCTTATACAAAACGTAAGCTACAAATGCATTAATAGCTACACATAAATCAATCTAGTCCATTTTTAGGAAAATTGAAGTATCATACAATGGCACTTAAAAATTAGTTTTATCCAAAGCTTACAATTACAAGCCTTTTGATACCTTATTTCTTCCCCTACGAAAATGATATATTCTAATGGGTACAGTTTCGATAATTTTTATTTTATTTTACTTAAAGATCAGACCGTAAATCTTCCGGTTTTTAGGACCTACTTCCGTTCGAAAATTTTTGCTCGTGCTCTTTCTCCGCCGCAAGGATTTTGTTTTGGCTTGTTACCTTGAGTGCAAACAAAATATGTAAGAACAGATATAACTCATTTTTAAATTGACAACTAGTGTATGTAACAAGCAGTAAAAATAAAACTTGCCGATTCACAGCAATTTCCATCAAAATGGAAATCTTTATTACATAATTTTCCGGCGAACATGTGTTAATCGTAAAATTCAATTACAGAGATAAAACTGTCCAAAACACATAACTGTCTTTTTCCTCTAACCGTTTTAGGAGGCCCTGAATATCGATAATCACGGAGAAACATTCACTGAAGTGGAAAATTAGGGGTTATCAGATTAACTGGAATAATACAGGCAAACATTTCCTACGTATGAAATCTATCTCCTTGTCTTTTGGTATTAAACCATTCTTTAGTTCATTGAAGTTGATATTCCTTGAAGAAATGGAAATAGGAATATTTCTATAATGAAAAATATCCTGAGCGTTTTTTTTTAATCCAATCTCATCGTGTATATACTTAAGGGAATATCGACCTCAGCTAACTAAAGAGTGGTTTAAAATCAATCAGCAGAACAAGAGATGTATATCATACTGTAAAATCGTTGGCTTGTATTACTCCTGTTAATACGCATAATCAGCATATTAGATCTTCCGATTAATGACCTATAAACATCGGTAAGATGTGCTAATTAGCGTTTCTCTCCGAAAACCGGCCGTTCATATGGAAAAGTTACGAAAGGCGTTCACCAAAATTTCGGCGAATCTTCGTATGAGCTCGGTCAGTCGGGCTGCCTTGGTTTCCAAGATCTCCTGGACTCACTCTCTCCTTAGTTCTCGAGATCTCGATTGTTTCGTTCGAAATCTCGATTAACCCTTTAATTCCCATGAGTGACCAAGACAGAATTACTTCTTACATTATCAATACAATATCAAGCAGACAAGTGACGAGAATAAAGAAAAATATCGATAAGGGAGTAATCACGTGCACTTGACCCTATACCAAATTCTCTGAACTAACATTATAAGAATCGTATGGTTGACAATAAGGAGAATTACAAATTTGATCTGAGAGTTAAAGGGTTAACGGGCTAGAAATGTCATGAACTTTATCGCAATTTTCCGGAGAGGCGATGCCTTGATTATCCAAGTTGTTGATCTGAAATTCTTCCCGTGAAATATAACCAAGCTGGAATCTCAGCTCGCTCGGCAAAGGGTTGAAGTTTCCCACTAGAATGTGAGCAGTGCCGCTTCTCGGCGAAGCCCGTTGCGCGAGTCAGAGACGTGAGCGCTCAGCCCGGAACTCTAGGAATCAGGCATGTTCATTTATTTTTATTTATATTTATTATCATTATTACTATTATTATTATTGACGAGTCGGATTTCACCGAAGGGATGGGACTGCTCAGAGTCTAATTTCCCACTAATAAAAAAGAAGACAGAAAAGCTCCTGAAAATTGCGCAAGCTTTGTATTCAGTCTATGCGGAAGTATTCTATCTCCGTTCTATGTCTGTCGCAAAAATGGTGATCCGTCATTACCCGATTACAAGGCGAGCTGGATGTTCGGGCTTGTCCGAAAATGTGCCGATTGACGTATCAATATTTACACAGCGATGGTACCAGGCCCTACTCCGTCTAATTTGCCGGCCACAACATGAAAGCCCACAAGCAGTGAAATGTCCTTATCAGTTTCTTTGCAACGCTCAGCTTAAGATAACTTTTATGTGCTTTTATCTCGATCTGTGACTGTGTTTCTCATTGTGGCGGGTTTTTACACTACTTTGGGCTTCACCTACATGCAATAGTATACAGATAACTAAAATGAATACGCGCTTTTGAATCACCTTTTGAATCACCTTTTCACCTTCTACGTAGACGCGAGTAATCCGCCGTTTGTATTTCAGCTTATACACATCCAGGCAATGAAAGGAACGCCAGATAAAAAATAACGCGAATGACCGACGAAGTCCTCACCTGTTTGGGCAGCATCGATGCATTATAATTTTTGATTTGTGCGGTAACTCGCGGGAACTTTTTAACCGGCGAAAAATTTGCATGTCAACAAAATCAAGAGGACGAACTCCACTCCTAGACGGTAAACATCGGCTGAGGCTACAATAGTATTAATAAGAAAAAGTCAACTGCGGGCAAAATGCCCGTCGTTTCACTACTACTTCTTTAATTTAAGATTTCTTATGGTTCAAAGCGAGTATCATCGAACATCACCAAGCGATCTGATCATGACCTCTTCAGGAATAAAATGTAGAGTGTTACACAAGTGATTGATGAGAAAGAAAACATCTACTTCATCAAGATCCAGTTTATAAACATCGAAAGCAATCACCTCTTTTCTTATCTACCTAATTTGAAACTTTTAACTGAATCAGAATGATCAAGGTTATAGTCATTTAGCTACGGTCGACAGAATTTTACTAAAACTGACATAGCTTTCCTAACTATCTTCTTGAAAAGCAACTTTTTAAGTTTTCATTGGCTGGCAAGTAATGCAATAAATGTATAAAACTGTTGTATAACTTAGATAAAATAACATTGCAATATACGTGACACTGGCTTCTAAATCTCTGATAACAATGACAGATTACCAAGACAGCTTTATGACGGCCAATCTAATCTGAAGGGGTGTACTTGAACAGAATGGCAATGAACCGATTTTCCAGTGCATAACAAAGGCCCAATTCTTTGCCAGAAATGATCTGTTTTCGCAAGGGCCAATACCTCTGCGAGATGTCTTAGTGAAGTTAAGAGGACGATTAAGAAGGAAGAAGCTGATGCACATTGTTAAATTTGGTGTAACTTGAAGGGTAAGCTTTTACATAAACGAGAAGATCTTCTACTGTCCATGAAGTCCACCTCTCTACACTAAATATTTGCAAATCCAGAAAATCAATGCAAAGCCTCGGCTTGTGATATTCAATTTTGCCAAGTAATACCTTAAAAACCGTTAACATAACAACGCGATCTACAGCTGAAACGCTGTAAACACTTTCAAGAGCGCAATCTCGAAAGGAATGTAATAGATCTTACATGCGTGAAAAATGCAACAGGCAACAAGTCGATAACAACTCAATAGCTTGTAAACCATTATGATAAAACATCTTAAGACAACAATTACCTTTTATATATGTTATCCTTACAACTTCACGCCATTTGTAATGGCCAAAAAAGAAATTTCTTCTGCAGCGTGTCGCAAAAATTAGCGCGATGAAAGAAACCCGAGACAATTCAACAGCGACTCAACAATCCGATGCTATCTAGTGCTTTTCTTGTTTAATTGGTCGTTTAACGCTTGACGTCATAGAAATTAAAAAATTTCCAGACTGATTTTCCGACAAAGCAACGGAAGATACTGATAGTCGTTCTGGAAATCTTTTATCTAGTGCAATTATGAATTTACAAATATATGAATTTCATATATCTAAAATCACTATGAATTTATATTCAAGAAAACATCGGAGTTGTTTGTTGAAGATGTATGGCTCAGAGCGAAGAATACTTTTTGCCTATTAAACCGCTTATAATTGCACATGGTAAACAAGAAAGTTCGAGAATGATTGCAAAGATTCTCGCGAGGTCTACCGGAAGAACATTGGCAAACCAGAAGTAATTCCATAGATTACCATCTGCTGTGAGAAAATTTTTACATTTTCGTTTCTTCACGCACTTAAGAAAAAACCCTGGCGGTCTTTCATTTTATTATTTAACTCCTGTTCAGTGCCATAACCTTTACACAAGTTCGTATATATTGCATAACCCAGACTCGCACACTTGCTAGAGTTTCTATTGAATTAAGCTAGAACTTCTGCGCTTTTTCGAAGAGAATATGAGAGTTGAAAGAAAGCAGTGTTAAAATCATTATGACTTTCTGATGAAATACGATTCTTCAAGTCTCCAACGCGCTTGTTTCGGGAAGGGTTTCTGCAAAAGGTGTGCCCTTAGCCTTGTTTCAGAAAGGAAATAAATGTTACGCTAATAAAAGTGCGTAATTAAAATTATCATGTAATATCACTCCGGAAAGGAACCCTCGACGCCTGCGGGATATCCCGCAGTGGGAATTGTTCGTTAAATCTGACGTGAGCAAAACTCCGCAAAGAAACTTCTCCATCGCAGCGCTGTTTAAGAAATGCTCTTGTTATCTTAGAAAAGTTATTGGCTTCATTTCAATCACATTTTTGAGGGCAGAAACTTTGGCACCTTTTCAAGAGCAGAAAAATTGTTGTGGAAGTATCACGATACATTTTGGCGTGCAAATTCTAAATTCTCTCGAGATTAGCGTAAAGGATAGACGACTTCAAGTGCATAAAGACAATAAGCTTATCAGTGATCAGGGTGATGGCGAAATCGCTCACACGAATTGATTCTAACTTCACCCCTTTTTTAAGAGATAGGTCAAGTCTGGCAATAAAGAAGAAAGGTTTTTGTATCTTGGAATATCTAGCCTCAACACAATCATTCTTCTTCAACCTTAGCAATACATGTTTATCTCCGGATTATCCTCACCTCTTTCGTGTTTCTCTGTTCCTCACAAACTATCACTTACGGTTTCTTTCCAACAAATTTCCTATGAAACAAGTTAAAAAGATTCAACGTTTTCCTTTAAAAAGCAGTTTTCTTTTGATTCCAAAATCTCAGATTTCGTGAATATTTTCCTATTTGCCAGTTTTCATGAAAAGCCAAAGAATTTTACCCTTAGTTTTAAAATTCGTTTTTCAATGAGAACACATGTTTGTCTGATCAGATCTCAATCATCAAAATGCAAATTAACGCGTATTTCAAGTATCGGTGTGTTGTAACAGTTTCGATTACCATTACGATTTCCTGTATATAATTAGCAAAAAATTGTCAAAAATGTCTATTTTGCGATTATGAGCCATTAATGAATCATGTATTGTGGTTGTAAACTGATTCAAATTTGCCACACGAGACTTCACTCACAACAAGATTTCATGGACCCACATAAAATTCTGTAAACAGGAACACACGACAAGAATACTTTTTAATATTCTTTTCAAAAGATATTCCCGACCTTTTTCACTTATTAAGCTAGAGCAGATACCGTCGACAGTCAGGCGAGCCATAAAATCAAGCCGTTTTACGTTAGCTTCTTTAAACTCGTAAAATTTCTGATATCTTGTCGAGAATTGCCGTACTAGAAGGTGTGGTATGGAACTGAGATGAAAATCGTGATTATATGTAGTTTTTTCGACCGGAATTACGGGGGAAATACTGGTATTTGTACCCCTTAACATTCCCTGGCATTACAATACCAAAATTTCATTAACTAGAAGTAACATAAGCTCTTCTAATAGGAAGGTTTTCGTGGCTATTGAGCGAGAAAAAAATACGAAATTAAGCCGCAAACACCTGTAAAGCTCTTTGTCTTGACCACAAACAGGACTTAAGTACGAATGGAAAAATAACGAAATAGCGAAAAAAAAACACTATCAAATAGTAGACTTAATCCGAGCAAAAGCATTTATGAGCCACAAGTTTTAATTTTGGGACGAAAATTGTCAAAACTTACGAAAGCTTTCCTGAGACCGAAGCATAAACATGAACAGACTGTATAGAATGTATAGTTCCTTTTTACGATGGTTTGAAATTCTGCGAGTAAATATTATGTTTAACATAAAAAAAAATTAATCATGAAAATTATGTTTAGACGGGAGACAAAAAAATTGAGTTGATTTACAAAATGGTATCCACTAATTCAGTGAATTTGACTTGTTTACTGTAAACAGCAAAACTGGAATAAATTTTGCCACGAAATCCTCTGAATTATGCAGCATGGAAAGAGTATTTGAAACTCACTTCAATAAGAAATGCGACCAATAAAGATTGATTAACGGCCTAAGGTGTTAAATCCAACTTTCTTAGTTATAAACGTTGATTACACGCATGCAAGCTTGAACAGTAGCTTCTCGACAATTCACCATTACACCGCCACAAACTCAAAATGATGAAATATTTCAACCAACCTTGTGCCAATCCACGCTTTGTCGATGTTATATCATTACTCAAAGCCCAAAAAGGCTTCTAGAAAAGCAAAAGAGCTAGTAAACAGCTCATAATGTCACATAAAAGACTATAAAATCTCCAACTGCGAGAAAATTTTCTTTACCTGTCACGAGATCAGATTAACACGCCGGTCATTGACGTCATTCGTGCGGAGGAAGTGTTTGGCGGGAAAGAGTTGTGATGACGTCAAATGGATGATCCCAATGTTTTTTGTCTGGAAAAACATTTAGGGATGCACTTGAAAATTTTCAGCTGAGTCTGATATTCTTTCCTGTTTTTATAATACAAAATAACTGGAGTTTTTAATTCTTAAGTATATGATTGGTAATGGTACAATCTGTTGTTTTGGACCTTACTGCATCTATGCCGAACGTTTCAAGCGGGTAACTGAAAACATGACCTCTAGCATTCTCAGTTTACATCAACAAACAATTTCCTGAAAACATTCAGTCAAATCTGATCATTTCATACGGTGATAAATCCGATTTTGTCTTATATATGCGCAATATATACCTCTTGGATAGCTGTTTGCATTTTCACTTGGTGTGCAAGTTTTCTGAGCGAGGGGCGATCGTAAAGACGTAATTGTACATGCGCGAACTATAGGAATCGACTAAACGTATTGGTATTTTCTAAACCACATTTGCATCCCTCTCTAAGAAAAAAAAATATATACTTGAAGTTGGAGAGCAGTTAAGCGACTATTTGCTCAAAAAAATGAGGAGAAGTTACAATAACCAATTAAAACCGGCAAAAATTAAAGTACGGCTTTGATACGTATATACAAGAATATCCCAACTCTTACGAAATAGCTTCTCACCAAAATATGGCAAAAGGAAAGTGACAAGATACACTTAGTTCTAATGGGTTTTGAACGGTCAACCTGGCGTGAAAATTTTCGAAAACGTCAGAGCGCAATAAGGTGGTTCACAACATGTTAGTTTTGACTTAAGTTCGCGGGTTCAAAAAATACATTAGCTCAAGTCAAAATTGACTCATCCTGCAGCTGACGGTCTACAGAGGAAGCGAATCCACTAAGTTTTTCATTTCTTGTTTCCTTTAATTACTTTGCACTTTGTGTGTCGGTTGTTTATGGTTTGTACTCTATGACCTGACGCGTAATTCTTCTTTGTGAATTGGTTTGGAGAATTTGGTGTTATTTATCAGTATAACACTTTCTAGATGATAAAGTTGTCCATTCTCATTAGCTATCTGCGTGGTTAAATGATAAATGCTGAGATTAACGAGCTAATTTCATCATTATTCTGGTCACATTCGGTGAATGTTCAAAAGCAATTTCTCTCATTCTGTGATACAAACAGCCTACATGTGTGTCAATTATGGAGAATCGCTTAGCAGCAATGTTTGAAAACACTCAGCATATTTTACCCCTCAGCAACAGTATTTCATAACGTTAACAGAGCAACAGAAACAATACCGACGAAAATGAAACCTGTACAGTAAAACACATAAGGTGTTAACCGAAAATAGCATATTAGTGTCAATTCCATAAAAAATTTTAAGACATTAGAGATTAGCGTAAGGAAATTATCGTTCCTCGCAAAAAAAAAAAAAAAAATGCACACGGTGACCTTTCATTTTAGTGTTTGAAAATTTAGAGAATTTAATGTCTTTTTAAAATTACAAATCGTTTTACTTGCATCACATTGTATCAACGGCTTACCTTAAACTTAGTCAATAGGTTTCCATTTGGTAGGACTTCCCAGTCGACAGCAAATGCATACATACAAAAGCATATTTCGCATATGTAAATGTGTCATGGAATATGGAACGCACTGTGACCTCGTCCGCCTTTAGTGCGACACCTGCCAAACTAAGATGAACATTCTAATAGCTGCCGACGGCGGATAGTACAATTTGCTGTAGATCTTCCGTTATCTAAAGTTTGCTTTTTGCCCGTAGAGACGCAACAGGACTCTCGACAAGATCTAAGCTGGCAGCCGGATAGAAAAATATAAATACGCAGCTCTTCACTTGCGTGAAAATTAGTTTTCAAATTTCATATTTTATTTACATAACGTCATGTTAGCGGTACTCGGTGTCAATTTGTGTTTCTCATTGACAAAATGGCGCTAAGCTGTATACTGACAATTTCTTCTCTATGCACTTATTGGTGAAAGACTTATTTAAAGTAATGTTTGTTCAGGTTGGCGAAAAACATCAATACATCTGGGTATAATTATTTTTTTTCACATTAAGCAATGTTTTAGTCGATCGCGCGAGCGAAGATCTCTTTCAATATTGAGAAGTCTTCTACGCTTCGGCACTCACTGCAGCAGAAGATCTGATTAAATTTATTTTCCTCGGAAAAGAGATTAAGGTTAAAACAACTAAGAAAATAAAACATCGATACAGCTGGCGTACAAAAATTATATCAGACTCGGTGACGAAACTATTTCTTCTACAGTCAAGAAGGCTCTTAAAAATCATAATTCTATTCAAAGAATATTTTCCAATTTGTAGTAATACTTTTCCGGGACCTACAGCCGCTCTCTGTTATTTCAATCCTTGAAAAACAAACATGTACTCGTTTGCATATAAATTTGCGAACACTCATCGAAGACAGAGGGAAAACTGGTATTAACTGGTCTTCGAGTTTTGCATTAGCACTTGGTGAATTACCCAATTCGACTTCATTAGGGAAAACTCTTTGGTAAAATGTTTCTGCAAAGGTTACGTTTGTAGCAATTTCATAGATAATGCGTCAAAATTATTATCCATACAACATGAAATGATCGTTTTGTTGCCTCTAAAATTCAAGCATGCAATGTTTTAAAAAATATTTATGTCTCACCTCCAATCACTTATACGATAAGCGCCGATGTTTCTTCACCGCCGAACAAGTTTGCTGTTATTTTCCTTCAGCAGGGGCCGTGAAGTCTCTGAAACAAAACAATTTAATATGCATTTTTGATTCAGAAGAGTTACATGGTTTATAGAAAAAATATCATTGAAAGAGGCATTCCCCGCCGCTTATTTAGAACCTACCAAAACAGAGAGAAAATTTGCGATTGGCAGAGACTCAAAACCCGTAGAGCACAATTTAATTCCCCGTGAATTGACTCAAATAGGATATCGATCTCGGTTTGATTCTCGTGTATCAAGCGAAGGCGCAGTATGAAACGTGCGGCATCACAAAATTAGCTTATCGTTAGAAGCTACGCGAAGTATAGTAAACGTGTTTCGTGGGAAGTGTTTCTAAAACGTATTTCTAATTTTTTGTCATAGAAATAACGGCCGAATTATTAATATTCATTGAAAGTAAATAGAGTGTTAGGTACGGTGTTTAGCATACATTTTGTCAAAGGACGCCAATTCTGTTCGTGATGTTTAATTTATAAATTTGAAAGAATAACAGAAATTTGAAGACACTTGTTTTAAATCAAACGCAACGTTAAAAAGATTGGCTTCGAAAAAGTCTGTTGCACTTCGAGTGCGTTTTTTTTCGGGACGAAAAATTTACCTAAGAAGTATAGCATATTTATGTTATCGTCTGTGCAATATATCAAACTGAAAAAAGAATGGTCGTCGAGTTTGAATTATTAAACATGTTTTAGAGTTTAAACGGAAGCGATTGATCATGAAGTTGTAGTTAGCTAGGGATCTCCTCATCCAATAGTCGTTTGGAGCAGTAGTCGGATTAAATTCCGTGCTTCCAGCTTATTCGATCCTTTTTTTAATCAAGAAGCAGTAACTTCATCAACTAAAAGTACTGCTCTTTGAATCGAACAGCAATTACGTTGGGCAAGATTTTTTATTTGGCAGCTTTTATGCTTTTGCAGCGACTGTGGGGATTGCTGTCATGGTTTCAAATACTGAGCGAGTTTGTACACAAACAATGAATTAGTCGACAGAGAAGTATGGAAAATTCATCAAAAAGGTCTTTAGATATTTGCTCGCTCACCTCGTATGTTTACGTTCGCTCATTACAGCGTATTATTGCTCCATTCATTTACTTATCTATATCTATGTTTGTTATTTGTTTGTCTATTTATCGTCCGAGAATGTATAACCAGCAGAAATTTAAAGGGTCGTCGTACTTTTTTAAAATTGAAGTGCACTGGGTTGCTATGGGAACGCGAAAAATATTTTCAAAGGAAGTAGCTAGGATTGGTAGTGGGGGGAGAGGATCTCAGGTTAATGTGATCTCCCGTCGTGGTCTAAGGAAAAAAAACGTTAATTGTTATTGAGAAAAAAAGCCCAGTATACCCTAAGCGGCAGTTAGACGCTAATGTGTACCACCCCCTTGCTTATGAAAAATCGCGCTAATTTTTATTCAAATTTTAAATTTGACATGACAGAATGAAAAATTGACATATACGAATTGCAAAATGCGTAATGAAAGCGCTAAATAAGTGCTATATGCATCATTACAGAGGTGCAATTTACCGTTTTAAACGTCTATTCGGTTGGCTAATGTAATTGGTCAGTTTTCTCGCCTCATTTGCAGCGAACAAAGTGTCGGTCATTCATCATTCTGTACCAGCAAGTTCCGTGTTTTAGAATACCCTAATGGGAGAGCAAAATATAGATCGATGAAGTCCCGTAATATTCCGGAATATTCTATTCCAAATCACAAAAATTCTCAGACCTGTTTTGCTTAAAATCTAACTCCTTGCTAAATTCGCGCAAGAATTGTTTACCGGTCAAAATTTACCCTAGATTACTTCCTTCATAATATACAGGAATAACGCGCGTTTATATATGCCTTCTCTATCAATCAACTTGTGGGGAGAATTGAATAAATAATTTATCTGAAAAGCGTTTTATAAGAAGAAAAAAACACTCACAGGATGGTAATCGTGGTACGCGAGGAAAGTTATATTTGGTGATGCAAATTTTAAAAATGTTTTTCTTCGCGATTCTTGAAAGATTTAAATATTTATCTTTTTTGTATGAGCTTGTTTTTGTTGTTTTCGTAAGGAATAAATCTTTGGCGAGAAATTGTCTGTCATTAATATTTCGCAATTTTATTGAATTTTTCTGCGAAATATCTTACTCAGAGATTGGCCAAATCATTTTAAAATGACAACCATCCTTTCAAAATTCTACTTTGCTCTTCTTTAATTATATTTT